GTAAGTTGTGATACCATCCAACAGTGCAACTGGGAGTCCAAAAGACTGATCAAAAAAGACATCAAAACTAACAAGCCACAGCGGCCAGGGTTCATGATGGTTGTGTAGTGCAAGGGGTGACAAATGGCTACAAACCTGTCATAAGCCATCACAGTCAAGAGTACACTTTCCAGGCATCCAAAGAAATATAAAAAGGACATTTGTATCAGGCAGCCCACATAGGTGATGGATTTGTTCTGTGTCTGAATGTTGACCAACATCTTTGGGATTGTGATAGAAATGAAACCAAAGTCAGCCAAGGACAGGTTGGAAAGGAAGAAGTACATTGGGGTGTGAAGGTGGTGGTCAGAGCTGACAGCCAGGACAATGAACAGGTTCCCAGACACACTGATCAGGTACATGGACAGGAACAACCCAAAGAGAAAGGGTTGCAATTCTGGATCATCAGAAAGGCCCAAGAGGAGGAATTTTGAGACACTTGTTAGATTCTTTGGCTCCATATATCTGAGACAGCTCTTGGAAAAAAGAAAAGAGGATTATTAAAAGGAAATAAGTTAACAAACACTCTGCATTGTCTATATTTTGAACCCAATAAATCACACACACACACAAAAAAAACCGTACAAACTACAAGTTTTATGAATAATTTATTTTAGAAAGATCAGCACACGACTGGTTCCTATGTTGTTAGTTATTAAATATAGTCAAGTCAGTTCCAATTCATAGTGAATTCATATGTACTACAGAATGAAACACTGTTCTTTCCTGCATCATCCTCACTATTGTTGATACAGTTAAGCACACTACTGCTTCTAAGGAGCTCTGTCAGTGTAGTGGTTACAAGTCGGGCTGCCAACTACAAGGTCAGCAGTTCGAAACTATCAGCGGTTCCACGGGAAAAAGATGAGGCATTCTGCTCCTGTAAAGATTTACAGTCTTGGAAACCCTGTGCAGAGTCACTATGAGTCAGAACAAACTCCACATACTTAGCAACAACAACTGCTTCTATTGTGACAATATATCTTATTGGGGATCTTCTTCTTTTTCACTGACCCTCTACTTTACAAAGTATGATATCCTTCTCCAGTGGCTGGTCATTCTGAAAAAATATCAGAATTATGAGAGATAACATCTCACCATCCTGACTTCTATAAAGCATTCTGGCTGTGGTATTCCCAACAGAGATTTATTTGGTCTCTTGGCAGTTACAGATACTTTTAATTTTCTTCTCTAACACCATAATAAAAATGCATTGATTCTGCCAGAGGCTTCCTTATTCATTGTTCAACTTAGTAAATGCTTGGAAATTGGTTTTTTTTACTCAGAATTTTAGATAATAGCAGGGTAGTGTGTTGATTTGTGAAATACAAACCTCATTTTACTTGATTATGTGCTAAAGATAGAAGCCTAATGGTTCCCAGGAAATTTGAGCATAGAATGTACTGAAATCTTAAATTGTGCCTAGGTTCACACAAGGATTATTTTCCCCTTCTCTTTCCTGTTTTACCAGGTTGGTTTTCATTTTATAAAGACCTCCAAAATTTTTTTAAAAATAGTTTAATATTGCACATTTTATTTTAAATATGACCTTGAAATAGACATGTTCCTACCTTATTTTATCTTGTCCATAGTCCTGAGGAATATCAATGGAGGAATAAACTCTTGGGCAGGAGAGCATGCAACATGGAAGCCATACAGCCAACATTCTGTTCCTGAGAACCAAGGATGAGTCTATTTCATATTTAACACAGATTTGTTGTCATTGTGGTTGTAGCCTACTTGTGAATTGCTTATCATGGAATAAGCGCTGTGAAATCATAAATGAATATGAATCAGTGATTTCTTTAAAATCATTCTATATTTACTTTTATGAGACAAAACTTTGAGATCATGGGATACATTATTTTAATGGTATGAAACTTAATTGAATTTGTATTACTAACATAAGTAGTATGTTACAATTATAATCCTTGAATATATGCACCCATTACATATTTAATTACACATATAATATTCATTATATCTTCGATCCTTAAAATAATGCCGAACTTTCTCTCTATCAGGTATAGATAAATTCAAAAGGAAATAGAGATCCAGAAATACTAAGAACTTGCTCCCTGGCAAATACATCATAAATAGATAGATAGGGTTCACAAGTAAATTGTAGTTCTTTAGGGCCCATGAACTAGCCATATTCACTCTTTCCTCATATTTGAAAACATTTAAGCAGAGGTCAAGAGCACATAACCAGAGATATATCTAAGTTGCACCTTTATTTTCACACAAGTTTCATGAGTCAGAATGAAGCATAAGCATCTGTCTTTTTGTCTCCTCTTAAGATCAAGATAGTGTATTAGGATGAAAGTGGAAGTGAACAGCTGAAACAAAATCCAGAAAGGGCAAGAAAGAGATCTGACAGGTCCTGATGTGATTCCTTCCAGCATTTTCTACGATCCTTCTGATAGTTGAGGCCCCTAGATGCACACACTTATGTGGTACGGTGAGCAGAGGGTCTCTGTTTGGACAGACCAGAAAAGTGATATGACAGGGAGGTGGTAAGGGGATAATATGGCTAGTTGTCCTTTGTCAGTTTTCTCATGGCCCAAATTCAATCTAGGCTTCAACTTTTTTTTGTCCACTGCCTGGTACAATTTACAAAAGATGACTGTGTTCCCTTTGGCTTCTGTAAAATAACAGTAATGTGTATTGTTATTTTTTGGATATGGTTGTACAGGAAAATGAAACAAGTTACATAAAAAAAAAAAAAAAAAAAAAGCTCAGCTCTTGGCTAGGCAGCCTTCAATAAACAATCATGAATACTGTCATAATCCCCATCATTGTGATTATCATTACCATCTATAATATCACTTTAATATCACTTTGAAGTTTTCAGTGGATAAGTGAGAAGAACTTATTTTATATTTTGGTGGGGAAGTTTCTACATGAGACAGAACAAATGTAGAAGAAACTGAAACTCAAAATGAGCTTTCTTGGACCTCTATTTAACTAGAACATTAACTTCACAGGTCTTTGAAATTAAATTTAGATTTAGAGCCTCTCATCTGTCCATCACAAGTGTTTTGCTTGTCCTCATGAGGAGGATACAATGCTCCCAAGTCCTTCTGCCCACTATCTCACACAGCACTCACAGGATTGCAAAGCTTCTCTGCTGGGGCATCACCATGGAATGCAGGTCTACCACCCTTCTGATGCCTGGTATGTGATGAGGATTGAGATGTCTTCCTCAACACTGGCAGAAAGACAGACTCACACATGAACATTCTTAGGTAGATGGCCACTTTAGAGGAGAGACAAGGGCAAGGATATCCCTTGAATAGAACAGGCAAATTGAAGACCTGGAGGGCACTGGCAGATTATTTACAGGTGAGATGAGAACTAAATGCCCAGAGCTCACAATTAGCCAAATTGATTCTTGCTATTCTAATCTCTGAAGTCTTATTAAAAGTAATGATACTGGACGAAGAGAAAGTGAATTTCCTTGGTACCTAAGACCACTCAATTTAAGGAGGAATCACAACTATATCTTTAACTTCAAACATCTAAACTGCAGATATTGTAATATAAATATCATATTTTTTTTTCAATTTGTCAATTAAAAAATCAATCTGTGAATCAAATCTATTTAATGAATAATATTATTAAGGGATTTAGTGGCACTGTGGTTATTTATGTGTTGCTGTGATGCTGGAAGCTATTCCACCGGTATTTTGAATGTCTAAAGGGTTATCCATGGTGTACACTTTTAAGCTGAGATTTCATACAAAGCAGACTCAGAATAAGGAATAGAGGCTTACTTCTGAGTGTTTAGTCACTGAAAACTTTATGAATAGCAGTGTAATATTATCAGATGGCACCAGAATATTGAATATTGGAACATGATGGCTAGCACTAGAATATTGTAAGATATAGTGATGGAAAATAAGCCCCTCAGCTTGGAAGGCACTCAAAATTCAAGTGGGGAAGAGCTGATTGCTCAAAGTAGATGGTGATGATGGAGATAGAGTAAGACTCAGGACTTTCATTTGCTAATGACTCACAATTCTGAACATGGAGAAACAGCTACAAACATCCATTAATTATTCTAACATGGAATGTACCAAGTATGAATCTAGGAATATTAGATGTTGTCAAAAATAAAATGAAACACATAATCATTGATATCATAGACATAAGTGAACTGAAATGAATTGATATTATCCATTTTGAATCTGAAAATCATATGGCTTATTATGCCAAGAATGACAAATTGAAGAGGAATGGTATCACATTCATTATCAAAAAGAACATATCATGATTAATCTTGAAACATAATGATGCAAAAGGCATCAAAAGAAAATGAAAGTTATACACATAGTCACTATACAAAAAGAAATGATTCATGTTTAATCATTTCAAAAATTAGCATATGAACAAGAACTGAAGGTACAGACAAAAGATGTCCATGTTGTACTGGGTGAAAAACAAGGCTCCAGGAACTGATATACTGTAACTGGAATCTTTCAACAAATTTATGTGCCATTACTCAATATGCCAAGAAACTTGGAAGACAGTTACCTAAGCAACCAATTGAATGATATCAATATTTATGCCCATTCCAAATAGAGGCAACCCAACTGAATGTGTAAATCATCAAATAATAGCAAATCAAAGGAAAGGTGTTTTTTTAACGTAATTTAAAAACGTCTTCAACAATACATAGACAAAGAAATGTCAAAAATTGGACAGATTCAGAAGAGGTTATGGTACTAGTGATAGAAATGCTAACATCAAATGGATTTTGGCAGAAATCAGAGGATACCAGAGAGATGCTTAATTGTGCTTATTAACTATGCAAAGGCTTTCAACTGTGTGGGTCATGAATAGCTACAGATAACCATGTGATGAATTGGTATTGCAGAACATTTCATTGTACTCATGAACCTGTATATAGACCAATAGGCAGTTAGAACAGAACAAGGGAATATTGAATGGTTTCAAATCATACTTCTTAAATATGTATGCTAAGCCAATAATTTGTGAAACTGAATTATTAAAAAAAAAAAAAAAAAAGAACATGACAATAAGATCAGAGGAAAATTTATTAACAATCTGTAATATGTAGATGATAAAACCTGTTAACTGAATGTGAAGTGGACATAAAATACTCACTGATGAAGATCAAAGAGCAGAAACTTCAATATGGATTGCACCTCAATATAAAGAAAACAAACACTTGATCAATAACTAACATCATGATGAAGGAGAAAGGATTGAATTTGTGAACTATTCATTTTGCTTGGATGTATAATCAACACTCACGGAAGCAGCATTGGAAACAATTCAAAACCTACAGAAAGAGATCCAAACGATTAATAATAGAATAAAAGAAATGGACAATACACTGAAAGGACAAAGATGTAGAATTGAAGAGATAGAAGCCAGAACTAGGTATCTAGAAGATAAATCTCTCAACACTACTAAGATAGAAGAGCAAACACAA